TAGGGCTGCTAGCTACCTACAGAGGAGGATGGGTGATCGACGAGAAGATCAAGTCTGAGGTTCCCTGCCTCAGACCCCCTACTATTTATACAATTACAACGGTGCACAGACCAGGTACCTATTTGTCCCTGCTTGGTCAGAGTCTGCTGACTCGTGTCCTGTCTCCTGACCTGTCACATGGTGTCCTCATGACTAACACCTGAGTCATGCCAAGTCCGGACTCCTGCTCATGAGTAAGCGCCCCCTGCTGGCATGTAGGTCACCTGTCCGTGAGTGAAGATGGGCGCTCCCGGACCCCTCAAGGCCCTGGGTTCGATCCTGGCTCCTCCACTTTCCGATACAAGTTGTCCGTGGTCGAGGTGAGCGTCTGTCCTGGTTCACATGACCCCCAGGTCACGTGGCACGAGAAAACTGTGACACAACCCTAGCAAGGCACATTTGTAGCAAGACCTGATACTTTGTAGTTGAAATTGAAGCAGGAAAAGTTTCAAAACCGCCCATTCTCATTGAGCGTAGCAGATGGATTTTGCGAAGTCAGCTTGCACCGGCCCTAAACACGGGCGTCTATACCCTGTTGCTCTGCCCAACGCCCTTGCTTCTGGGTCTTGCCTTGTACAATCCCTTCGCTTGCCTGTGTTCTCTTCCGTTCCTTATTCCTGCTCGCTCTGGGTTTCGTCTCGAACGTGATATGTTTTGCTTAAGTCGGCAAGTCAAAGATCCTTCCCGTAGCCTCCTACCAACTTACCTGCTCTGTGCAAATGACGTGGCATGTCCATCCTCTGTAGATGTCTCGTATCCTCTCTCATCACCCCCTTTCTTACTACCGATATATGCTGAGCTGTCTCATCTTATATATATGAGGGAGGTAGGTATGTCTGAGAGTCTGATATCCGAGAGAGGCAGGTACGTCTTAAGGTCTGCAGAGGTGTTCAACGTCTGTTGGCATCTACAGCAGGTATGTGGTCCTGTACTGGCGAACCCCCTCTCCCTCCCTCCATCCCCTCCCATTGGTACGTGTCCAAGCTGTCACCAGCTTCCATCCTGCTACGGTCGTAATTAGTGTGGCATGTTGTAGTCATCGTTGGGTGGTTGGGGAAGGAGGGATCTCGCTGGCAGTAGTGCCTACACGTTGTCAAATAGCATACTTGAACTGTATCTAGTTTGTTGTAGTGCAAATCAATATATTTTCGTGAATCATTCAAAATTGTCGCTGTTCTCTATTGCGATAAGAAGTCATCTATGGCAGGAATATACGAGCTACGGCGTATCTACATTGACCTACAGAGCTGTGGGCGGGCGCTATGTAGGCCATGTACCCCCGAGGTATGCTATGCGACTATCCCAGCTATGGCGTCTACTTAGCCCGATGTAGCACACTGATTTTTTTCTGATGTATCTGCGCCCAATTCGCCATCATCAACCAGATCACACCACTGCCGCTAACACGAACATCAGCAAAAATGTCCAATCGTTGCAACGCGGTTTGTATTGGCAATGTAAGGAGTGCTTGCATAGGATTTCATCATAATGCTAGTCTTGGCGAGATGAGTGTTGCATTGGCGTTAGATATGAGAGCTTAATATTTGTGATCACTGTAGTATATAGAACCGTCATTGTAACTCATCAGATTGCACTGGAACACATAGGCATGACCGGTCAGGAATTCCAATGTGAGTAGGGTGTTCCATTGCCATTAGCATCATACACCTGGCCAAGTAGTAGTTTGGCAATGGGAGTCTGTAGCAGGCACACCGCCCGTAAATCCGACACAATATCGCTCAGGAATGTATGCGAAAAATGATATGAATTAAGATGACTACAATACAAAAATACATGGGACCGTCTTCCTAACTCGGATTCCCTCGTGCCACATGCCCTTGGTTTTGCTGACGACCCACGCACGCTGTCCTCCGCCCTCTTCACCGTCTCGATTGCTGCGTTCGCAGGCGCTGGCGGGGTCAAGGGCAACACCGAGCGCAAGACGCACGGAGCGGGGAGTACTGCGCGGTCTTGAAGACTGAGGCGTGGAGGAGGGGCGTTGCGTGGCCCAGGAGGGAGGTGGACGGTTTGGGTGCCAATGCAGCGGTAGCGTGGGAGCAGGGTACAGTGAGACAGGGAGAGTGAAGGGACAACGGAGAGGATGGGACGTACATGGAGGCGCTTGCTGGCCTCTGCGCAGGAAGGGCTGGGAGTTGCATCCGAGCGTGGGGACAACGTCGACCACATGTTCGAGGTGTATCTCTGGCTAGCGAACTAGGCTGAGCGGCGCTGTGCAACGGCAGAAAACTCCCCAAGTTGCGAAGTTGCGCAGCTTGACATATGCAAAGTGCTTGAGGTATAGATCCGTGGATGTGATGCCTGACACCAATGTGAGGCCGGGGTTTGCTGTATGCGCTGAAACACAGATGGACTTACCTTACCGTTAGCGCGACTCGGAGTTCTTGATGGAACAGTACAAACCTCTGCTACGATGGAGTCAAACGCGCTCTCCGCAGATTCCCAGATAGCGACAGTAGTCAAGGCCAAGTATAAGACACGAGTGACAAGCGACCAGTGGTGCGTGGGCGGCAGCGGTGCCCATCGTCCTCGCAGGATATGCACCGTGAAAGGCTTGAGCAGCCTCAGCACGAACCATAGCTGATAGAGAGTAGGCAGCACGACCGACCGTCCAAGGGCAGACACCGCCAAGTATGGTACAGTCACATCTGTAAAAACCACCTTTGCGAATTACACCTATTTAGTACAAATTAGCTCTTAATAGACACAGTAGTTGGATAGTGAAAAATAGTGCAAAATCGAGAGGTC